AGGGCTGGAGTCGGTCGGCGCGGTGGACGGGAGCGCGGGTCCCGGCCCGGCCACCTGGTGAAGCCTCTTCCCGTGGGTGACATCCCGCAGTGCCTTGTTCCCTTGCACTGTGCCCTTTGGCATTTCTCCACTCAGCCCGGGGGATACTGACAGCAGCTCGGTAATTCCCTGAGGCCACTTCAATAACTTTCGCTGCCCTCTTTCTTGGGACAGCTGGGAGCGACTGTGCAAAGCTGGACGAGCTCCGTGTCTATGCGAGACCGGGATCTGCTCCTGCTCAGAAGGAAAGCCGTGGGATGCGCCAGTTACAGTGATCCACTAGGAGAATACAAACATACTCATACTCCATCCTTAACACACGGTTCTTCACTCATTCTTGCCTCCTCGTGTGTTGTGAGGGTGTACATAACTAGTAGTGATTGCTTCTTAATTATATGATGTAATTCAGTTACTTTTTTTTTTCTCTATTCTGGGAGGAATCAGGGTTTGGGCCATTTGGAGCTGTAGTGCTCATTGATTCTGTTTGGTTTGAGGGGTTCTCTATTCTGGGAGGAATCAGGGTTTTGGGCCATTTGGAGCTGTAGCTCACATTGATTCTGTTTGGTTTGAGGGACAAAACTGAACCCAAAAGGAAGCCTTATGAGGAAGCTTCTTTCAGAGCTCATTTTTGAATGTTTACTGTATTTAACTATGTGTCTCCACCTTAATCACTGAGCAAGTTTAAAAAAGTAAAGTATGGAGGTGTATCTATGTATTTCACACACAGTTAAGACTTGTTATGTTAAATCTATGCCAGGCATCGATCTTTGCAACTCAAAACAGAGCTCCAGGTCCCACTTCTGAAAGAGTTAATCAAGTTTAAATTACTTTGAAATACCTCTGCCTTATCTCGTGCTGTTGACTGGTAATAACTGGTAAGAATAAGTTATGGCTGGTTGTTGAAGCTTCTTTAATCTTTCTGTAACTGTGGAACGTAAAATGTTTTTGGTATTATCTGGCATTATCCTCCTATTTTATTGGCAGAAGATATTATGTAAAGGAAATTAATACCTGCTTTTGCAATTTTCCTTTTTCTAAGTCTGATCTGGTTTTTATGGCTAACAGCAGAAGTTGGTCCAGTGCAGTGTGGGGAATTCAGGTTTGGATTTTGGAAGTCATTAGATTTTGTAGGTATCAAAAAATAACAAGTAGGGGTGGTTCTTTGTTTAAAAAACAGATAGCAATATGGTCAGGGCCTAGGGGTGAAAAGTTGACATTATTTTTCATGTAGGAACCAGGATGTGGTGAAGCACCTGCTTCTTTATACGTAGAATAAAGAAGTTTTCTTAAAGATTTTAAAAATTTGGAACTCAGGATATGGAGACATCCTGATATTTAAATGGATTAAAAGAATGCCTTTAAGTAGTTTCTGAATGTGTTGAACAAATTCATCAGTTTTAAATTTCCAAACAAAAAAATCCCATAATTTATCTTGAGTGTAGTATGATGCAAGACTGTGTTAGCCTTGGTGATTGTAAAAGCCCTACTGATACAGATGACCAAGTATTCAGTAATTATTTCTCTTCCACATTCATTTTGTAAACATATAATCTTGCTTCTTTCCATGACGATAACTAAATGCTCTCCAAGCCTCTAAACGTGCCTGGGCATTAGAGGTTTTGTTTTAAATTGGTTAATGCCACTGTTTTGCTGCTATGTTGGGTTTTTTTCTGGTTTAAAAAGACACATGGAGAAGGCAGAATAATGAGAGTCTGGCAACAGAGTCTATGTTTATGTTTGCTGAGTAATTAAATAGACAGTTGATTAATGGGGACTATCATTAATGGCTGTCTGTCTGGATGGTTTTATGGAAAACAGATCTTGTGAAGCAGTCCTGGCTTCATTCTCTTAATGATTTGGTTGACAAAGGTAGTTCAAGGCATGGAGTGGTACTTGCATAGTAAAGCACTTGGCTCAGTAGTACTTACAGGGTGATTTTAAAATACTCTTTTTAACTTAGTGTGAGTGGTAGATGGATGAAAGTGAGTCAGCTGGTGGGGAATTGTCCTCTGGGTGGTGGGAGTGGGAGGGGTCAGAAACCAGCCTTAATCTGTCCAGCACTTGATTTGTGGCCTTGCAAGTTGCATATAAGATAAGTAATTTAGAATTTTCTGTGGCACAAATATTAGTGGAACAGTAGGTAATAGTGGCAGGACACATGTATGCTCTGCTCTTGATTACATGATAAAGTTGGGTCCACTGGAATAACCAAACATATTTTAGCACACCCTAAGGCTTGGAGCAGTTTCATTTTAGTTATTAACCCGCACTGCTGAAGACTTATTTTTGCAGTGTGATCCACTGTACAGAAATGGTGGATTCTTCAGGTGTTTGATGTGCCATCTAGTTGGCTATTTTCTGCTGTCTTGATATTGCTTGATTCCAAACTTTGGTGTTGTCACTTCAATTCCTTCTTTTTCGTTTTAAAGGGCTCACAGGGTAGGGAAACTTGAATTCTGGGGTGTTTTATTTGTGTATCAAGAACTGAACAGTTGCTTATACCAGAAAAGCTCAGTGCTTCTGGTTTCTTTTGAGCTACTCAACAACTGTCTCGATTCTGTATTTCACAAAGCAGTCTCCCCTGTGTTCTTTATGCTCAGGTAATAGTATTTATGCTGGCATGGTTTTCCCTCAGCAGATTGTGCTTTCCTGTAAGGGATGTCCCGCAGCTCCGGGTTTCTTACTGCCTGTGGCTGTTTGCGCTCAGACACTAGATGTCACTGTTGCAATTTGGATGTGAGTGTGCATATACATCTATACCTGTGCGTGTTTCTGTGTTTGTAAGTTACAATTTTTGAATTGGAAAATATAGTGGGCTTCCTCCACAATTATCACCTCTAAACGTAAAAAATTCATTAATCTAACAATAAATATCCAAGGCTGCCTTTTCCCTTTTACCCAGCTGCTTCAATCACTTAAAATTGTCACTGAGATGAGCAAGCAGTTGCACTGCAGTTTCTAATAAATTCATTATGATGGTGTATGCCTGCTTGAGGAATTAATTGTAACAGTACATGCACAGCAGTACATGACCCTGAACTCAGATAACATTTACATATGGAGCAAATTACACTAGTGATGGATTCTTACTAGAAACAGAACTCCTGATGCTTTTTTTTTTTTTTTTTAAATCCCTAGATTCTGAGTTAAGTTCAGGACTTCCAGAAGACAGTTACTCTTCAGGAGCTGAAGCTCTGGATGGTGATGATGAAGATGAAACAGCAGCCCTTGGCAATGCGGCTGAAGAGGCAACAAGCTCCAAAGATGGCCCAAGTTCAGGCTGGGCAGATGCCATGGCAAAAGTGCTCAACAAAAAGATTCCACAGAATAAGTCTACCATCTTGGCCAAGAATAAAAGCCTGGAGAAGGAGAAAGAAAAGGAAAAACAAGGAAGGCTGGCAAAGAGGATGAAGGTGAGAAAAAGGTGCAGTATTTAATGTGCAATCACAGTCAGATGGGTGACTTGCAAGATAACCTCAGCAGCGATTTGGGACAGTGCTCTGAGACTGTCTGAGTTTTGTAGTTCTCTTCCACAGTGATCTTGAGTAGCTTCAGTTTTTTTGGTTTCCAGACAGTCATGCTGTGTGGGGCTTTTTTTCCTTGCTGCTTTTTCTGGGTCATCAGGCAGGCTGGTCTTTGGCAGCAGGACTGTTTCAGTCTGTCAGCTTAAGTTGTTTTTGTTGTTGAGAGGGTGAAAGCAGCTGCTTTAAGCTTGGTTTTCTAATTGCTGTTGTTAATTTGGGGTGTAATTTGCTCTGTTGGCTTTACAAGTTGAATAGTTCTCTAACACAGAAAGTGAGAGGGAGAAAGAGAAGAAAACTTGAAATTGTGCCTCAGCTTCCAAAATCAAGATCTATAAGGTTGAGATTGCAGTAATTCCTGATGTGGTTGTGAATCATTGTTTGTTCCCCTTGATGATTTTTCTTGTAGGAGTGTTCTATTACAGTGTCCATGCCCTGAGTTGCTTCTGGTTCTGAAACTGCTATGAAGAAGCCAAAACTATGTTGGCAATTACATTGTCTTTAGTGGAACTTTTAATTCCAGGGTGTGATTGATATACCTTCAGGCTAGAAACGCATTAATAGTTCTAATGTCTCATCTTACCAGTTCTGTTCCAGTGTGATAGCCACATTATTCACCTGACAGTTTGGGACATGCTGTGTTTTGGCCACAGCTTGCCTTTTAAATACAGAGACCTTCAGTACAGCCTCTGCACAGTTATGGTTGTCCTAAATACCTGTTCACATTCAGTAAATAAGTGGGAATACTGCAAAACAGAGGTGGGCTACAGGTCTCCAAACTGACTTGTTTGCCTTAGAAAACCTTGAAAGCAGTCTGCCTTCCATTGACTTCTTGCTGATGAAAGGTAGACTAGGGCAGTTCTTTTGATCAAAGGCTAAAACATGGTCATAAACTTACAAATTCATAGTAGTCTGCCTGGAATTATAAAGATAAGGACTCTGAAATTCCATTAAAGACTTCTTGCATAAAGCAGATTTAATCAGCATCACCAGGCCTAGAACCCTGTTGAACTGTTAACAGGAGAAACAAAAAATTCACTACCTTACTCGCGAAGCAGAGGTTGGTGAAATCCAGTGGTCCAGAAATAAAGCTGGTGACTTTGTAGCCCCTGGTAATGAAAAAGTGGATCGGTTTGGTTTTGAAACAGGCAGCATCAAAAAAAACGGCAAAAATTAATATCATACACGAGTTGTTGTCCAGTGGACACTTGGTGCTCTTCCTGGTGTTTTCAGTGCTTCCTGTTGCAGTCTTTGCCATGTGTTACTGTGGGTCACAAAGCTATACTGGGGGTAATTCTGTGGGGGAAGTCAAATTCCCAAGGCTGAAAATCTGAAATGCCTGTCTTGATAGTCGCAGGATTTTATTATGTATAAATTTCTCTGTGATCAGCTTGTGAAGTCTTGGAGTTGAAAGTTGTCCTTGAATAATTTCCTTGTTTGTGGCTGTCAGTGTGAAAGCATTTTTTTCTAGACTTTTGTTGCTCAGATGACTCTCTGAGATTTGACTGTGGTCCCTGGTGTGTCAGTGCAAGAGACTTGCCTCAGACCTGTTGTCCAGCCCCATGTTGAAGCTCCCTTTATCCTCAAACCAAACTGAACTTCGCACATTTACTTCTTTTGTCCCTCTGCTACATACTCTATCAGAGTATGCTGCATTCTTGAATGTCCATGTTGTTTCACATCGCAGTATTTCTATCGCAGCTCGATAAAAAGCGGGAATGGGAAATGATGTGCCGAGTGAAGCCAGATGTGGTCAAAGACCGAGAGAAAGAAAGAAATCTTCAGAGAATTGCTACAAGGTAAGAGTTTTTCTGAATGCTTTCCTTAAATGTACATATATCAAAAAGAAGAGGAAAAGGGGAAGAAAAGGCCTGTGCAGGTAATCTGTTTCCAATCAGATTGTACTCTTAGAAAGTGACTAGCAGGAGCTGAGAGATTTATATACAGGTCTGTATGGTACAGTATCAAGTTCAGCAAAGGATTTCGGAAGCTTTATGAAAGAGTAAAAATTTAGATGAGAAAGTAATGTTTGCTTAACAGGAGTGCTTTGTTGGATCCCCTCATTTTGTTAATTTAATGCTTTAAAAATGCAGAACAGTTGTTTCTATTATTCTGGTTTTTTGGTTCTCCACAAAGGATTCACTAGATCCACAGCTGTTAAGTTCAACTGCCTGTTCTGTGTTGTGGTAGTTTGGTGTCACAGAACTAGTTGAACACCTTGATGTGCTGCCTGTGTGTGTCTCCTTACTCCTTCCTCTGCCTTGTCCCCCTGCTTCATCTGCCCATAAGATCTTGCCTGAGGAATTTAATAGCTGATTGTAGGATGAGTAACATGCTTCTGAGGATAAAACATGCTCGTGCACTCATCTCAATGCCATGTTACCATGCTTACTTCAGGGTCTGAGTAGTTATTTGTGGATTTGTTTGTTACTGGTTCCTAGCAGTAAGTGTGAAGAAGGAGTGAAAATTGAAAGTCTCTTGTTGTAGTAAATGTTTCTCCTTAAGCAAACTGAAGTTCCAGGTAACAATTTTGGGGAGCTGGAAGCCATCCAGTATCTGCAGTGATTAGCTGCTTTGGTGGGTGGTTCATTTCTGTAAAAGGAACTTGAGTTAAAAGATTTGTTTTGTTGTTTTTTCCCTATCCCAGAGGTGTTGTACAATTATTTAATGCAGTCAGGACGCACCAGAAGAAAATTGATGAGAAGGTGAAGAAAGCTGGGAGCTCTGAGAGGCAGCGTGCTAAACTGATGTCTTCTGTTTCAAAGAAAGATTTCATCAATGTTTTAAGAAACATGGATGGTGCTAAAGGCAGCAAGAATCCTGTTGGAAAGGCGACAAAAAGTAAACAGGTAGGCTTAGTCTGTGAGAAGAAAAATGCATGCAAGATACCTTCTCAGTGTAATTGCTGTCCATTAATGTGGCTGCTCTTCATAACAGCTGTGATCCAAAGGGCTGGGTTTTTTTGAGAGTTCTTAGGAAGGGAACAAGTAGCTCTTAGCCTGTTTTCCTTGTCTTTTGAGTATCAAGGTACAAAATGCTGTAAGCTCTTCTTATAAGACATCAAGCCTTGTATACAAGTAACTTGATTTAGCTGTGTGTTGAAAAGAAGAATATGAAAAATAGGCTTTTGTCTTGGATTTTGCACCAAGCATGGAATCAACTGCTAGATTTTAGTGGGTTGTGACATTTGGAGTTTGGCCAATAATAGTTAGCTCCTTAAAATTGTGAGGAGGCTCTTCGTCTTACACGGTGTATTAGACTGTACTACTTGTGTGTACCCACAGATTGGTCATGTCAAACTCACTTCCTTTGGATGATTATGGTATCTGGAACTGAAGGGATTTGCCATACAAGTGAACACCACAACAGAAAGAAACAGAGACATATTGAACATTATATGTAGGCTTTTCTTTCCTTTATTCTGTATGTGTGTTAGACTGATGTTGCTTCATTGCTGTTACGATGTTTTGGAAAGAAATACATTCCACTTTTTCCAAACATATTTAAGAGAGACACAGCGTAGTTGGAGTTGTCCAGCTTTTTTATCAGCTCTTTCAACTCAACCAAGTAGCTCAGGGTTGAGAACAAGTTGCTCAGAAATACTCTTTCTTGTATTTCAGAAGCTGCACATTTCTGAAGCGTATTTGTGTTCAGGTTTGAACTCTGTGCTTGGTAGTGGGTGGAATACTGCTGTTGGCCCAGACTCACAGCAGTTAACTAAGTGCTTTTCTGTGCCAGGAAGAAATACTTTAATCAGTTGGGAGACAACGGTTTGTCATGTGTTTTTTGTTTGTGTGCTCTTGGGGAACATGCTGAAACATTGCCTGGCATGAAATGCTCATAGGATTTTCATGCAAGTATAATTTTAAAGTATTTTTTAAATTCTTCAGATAATGAGAACAATTTAGTTTGGTGCTGACACTTTATTTCTCCTTAAATAATTCCAGCTTGCTTGTATGGGTCAGGGGTGTGTGTGTATGTGTGTGTGTGGTTCTTTTCTTTATTTATTTTTTATCCCCTGAAATATCAGAGTGACAGCAGTGCCAACTACTGTTGTAATCAGCATTGAATCAACAGCTGGGCTCGAACTAGGTCCTTTGTTTTCTTTGTGTCAGATTGTAGCAGGGCAGTTTGCTGATTAGTAGGTCAGAAAATATAGATTGCAAATGTTTCTATACTATGTAAAAATGAAGTATCATTTTGGCAGTATCAGTAACTGCATTTAAGTGCTCTGGAGATGCTTTAGATGCTGGCTGGTTAGTGTTGGTTTGAGTGTTAGTATAGGTGCTACTGTCACATTGCTTCTGAACAAAATCTGGATGGGGAGTTGGGTTTTGGTTGGATTTTTTAATAGTGTGTCTGCCTAGATAGACTACTCCCTAGGGGTTCCTGTCTCCCTCATTGCCTTTGCTTCAGTGACTCTCCATTCAATACTGAACCAAACTCTTTAATAACTCCTTTTCAAGCTGTTCTTAATCTGCCTTCTTTTCTCTTGAGAACATATCTTACTCATTCAGCAGGCTCCCATCCTGGTAGTTGTTGATGCTTGAGGTTGAGGCCAAAATGTGATCTTCAATCTCCTTCTCAGAATTACTCAGACATTTAGCCACTGAACAGTACTGCTGGCCTCCACTGACATATCTCTGCTTCTTAGTCTTTGAGGGTTTTTCAGAGGATAGTAAGCAGTGATGAGGCTTTTCGGTAGTGAATTTCTTGCAGCAAGAGTTTGGTAGATTGTTTTTGCAGTCTGAAAGCTTTTGTTTGTTTTGTGGGTTTGTTTTTTGTATCGGCCTGCTTTGTTTTTTAGCAATTGAAAGTATAGCTTGTATTTCATTTTTAGGAAAGAGGGGAGAAATACATTTATGTATCTCAACAAAAACAATGGAAGAGATGCCAATCCCAAACTCCAGGCACTCTGCCATCAATTAAAATGCAGTCCAGAACAATAAAACACTACCCCACCCACATAAAACAAGCAGTCATCGGGGAAAAATAGCAGAATAAAGTTTTACCAGTGAAAGCAAACCTTTTTTGACTCAAGCCTTGTGCTGTGAAAGGAGACTTGACTGTATTTGTGAGAATGATAAAATGGTTTTTTTTTCTTGCTCTGCAGCATATTTGAATGCAAAATTTGCTGCATATTTTTGAAAGTTTAGTGGTTTCTTCCAAATGTCAGGGGTTGTTGAAGAAACCTCTTATTAAAGTTATTAAAGCTCTGTTCTGACTGACTATTTAGTCAGGTATATATGTGTGAGAAAAAGAAATTAAATGCTTAGTAAAGGCCCATCTGCAGCAGTGGGATTTTATGGGAGCACAGCCACTTTTTAAATTTTGTTCTCTTTTTCCAGCAGTTTTATGCATTGATGGGATGGGAAGGACAGGTAACTTGTGTCCTGTGAGAACGTCGTTTGTAGTCTTGGATAGTTTTAGCCATTGCCTTAAACATTACTTGGCATACACCTACCAATGGAACTATGAAAGGAGGACTGTAAGACTCTGAAAGTTTTCCTGTGCCCTTCTTTTGCAACTGTAGTCCTTCTTGGGGGTTTGTGTGCCCAGATGGGAGTAATTACTTTTCTGAGCTGGAGCCAAAAGCTTTGCTTTCATATCATTAGCTGTTTATCAAAGTATTTCTTAATCCTTGCTGAGCCAGCTGACTTGTGTAATATTTTTTCCTGTTTTTTCCAAGGTACTGTGCATGATGCTTGTGTCTGGGTAAGATCATCTAATTTCCCTCCCCTCACCACCTTTTCTGAAGCTTTACAATGTGGGAGAAAAATGTAATCATTTTCCTCTTAAAAAGAAATCCCACTTGTTTGTCATTTGAGTAGGGTTTTTTAAGTTTTGGGGTATGGTTTTTTGGAAGCATTTATTGGCAGATATGAGATATTTCAATCTTGTTCAACATAGACCTTACAGACCTCATTTCCATTACAGTATGTGTTGGTTGTACCTTGCAGCTTCACACCTGCAAGACACTGTAAGAAACATTGTTAAACTACAGGTTTAGAAAAGCTACATATCAGAGATGCTGTTTTTCTAGCCCTGGAGGCTGAAGTCATCTGTGTGTCTAAAGAAGAAATACAGAAATAGGTTGTGGCAATAAGAGAATCCTTGCAGCAATCTTTTGTTTTCTTTAGGTCCTTCAGAAATTTTTGGGTGCTCTGAGGTTCCAGGTTTGAGTGAAGTTTCTGATCTCTTAGAGTTGCACAGACGTGTTGGCTGATGTAGTGAATTACATGAGATCGTGAAATCTTAATTGCAAGGAAATAAAGAAATACAGAGTTAGCATTCTCAGAGCAGCCTCGCTCTTCTCCCTTACAGTGTGTCAGTGACAACAGGGTTGTTCAGTATCAGAGGCTTTCATCTTGACTTTTCACTTGTCATTTGTGCTGCTTGCTGTAAAGCATTGCTGGGTGGTAAAACATTTTCTGGTGACATAGAAGCAACTGGCATGAAAGTTACAGATAATCTTTGTGACAGGCATAACCTGCATTCACGAACCTTTCATTTTCAGTTAGGCCCTTGTAGGATGGTTTTCTGAATCACCTATGTTTGCTTCAGCTTGTAAGTTTTCTCACACCAGATCTGTGGCAGAGCATTTCAGTGATGGAAGTAAGAGCAGGATTTCCTGGTCTACTTAAGTGACCATGATCCAAATTCTGCAAGGTAATTTTTCTGCAAGCTGTGCTTTCTGCCTGACCTGGAGGTACAATTTGTTTCCTGTGTTGTGATGGCATCTGGAAAAAAATGGTGTTTTGGTCTCAAAATAGTACCTGTTCTAAAATAATTTATTGATGGGAAGGAAGATGAGTGGAGAAGAATACAAACGCTATTTCATATCAGCTATTGCTCATATGGGACTTGAACTAAAGTGCTTTTCCAGAAAAGTTCCTTCTGCCTGAAGCATATTTTATAGATGCTCCTAATGTTTGGTAAGTAATTTGTAAGCACAGTGATTTACTATAGATTTTTTCTTTTGTTCATAAGACTGTAATTGTAAGCAGTAGTTTGAAGATTGTTCAAGGGCTAGAGGGTACTACTGACTTTGACTGCTATTCTTGCTGGGATACAAGAAGTGGCAAGGGGGCTTTCCTTTTTCAGGTTAAATAAGGTTATAAAATGTGCTTTTCAGCTTAAAAGTTAGATTTGTTTAAAAACTCTGCAAGTGACTGCTTTCTTTTTCTTGCAGCTGCATAAAAGTACTGGCTATCAGCATGTACTGCTTTTTTCCCACTGTTACCACAGTGTAGAAGTGGGGAAAAAAAGAATCTTTTTTCATCCATATACCTGTTTGAAGTGAAATAATTTGTTTCTGAACTGTGGATGAAGGCAGAGATGACTTGTACAAATTTGGTATGGTGTATCAACACCTCTTTTAATCTTAAAAGGAAAGGTTTTTTTTCCTTAGGTGATAATGGCATTGCAGAGTAGCAGAAGTTTATTACTGCAGGTGTTGTGTGCTGGTTTTACAGAACTAATTGAAAGATTAACCAGGCGTGCATGTATTCCAGCAGATTTGAGGGGGCAGCCAAGTATTAATTTAGTTCAGCTGCAGCCAAAATAGATGTGTTCTCCCAGTTTTAATAAATGTCTTCTCATCACATGCGCAGAAACTTTTAACCTGTATTCCTTTGAATGCTTCATTTGTATCTGTTTTTCTCAAATGTATGTACATCTCCTTGGAAGTCAACTCATGTGTGTTTGGAGCTGATGCTTTTAACATAATTTTGTACCAGAAGGTTGCTGACCTACCCAATTGTATGCTGCATTCTGCTTTTGATCCTTAGGGATAAATGCAGTGCAGCCTGCCACCGGTTGCTATATCCTAAATTCCTTATGTTCTTTA